TTCAACGTTGATTCAATGTTTCTGGCTGACATTGATTCAATGTTGTTTCAATCATTCTGTGCTATCTGGGATGTATATGTAGTTCAACCATCTTTTTTTTAGTAATCCATAATCACAAATAGCTGAGTTGTGTTATTTGTTGGGTACCAAATCCTAATCTCACTTTTGACACTAAAATAGCTAAAACTGGATGATTTGTTGGACTCTGATGTCCTAATCTGACATCATTTAGCTCCTGAAATTATTCATACCTCAGTGGGGAACATCTGAACTGTTTATAAACTTCCACAAAAGTATGTGCCACTTTGCAGCTATTTTTGTTTATTTTCTAGCCCATCTAGAGTTTGCATTTTAAAAGTGGAGAGCAAATAAGAACTGATCAAAACTTAAAATTAGATCCTTGCTTGTAATCTGTGTTGTTGATGATGACAATGATTATCCAAATAGCAAGAGATGTTAGTTCAACGTTGAATTATGATCAAAAAGGTTAAAATTATGGTTCAGGTTGACAGTGGATCAACCATTAAACAATCATCCAATTCTGGCCAGTTAACTGATGTTGAAAAGATTTCATTGAATCAATGTTGTTTCATGGTCGAATTCCTATGATTGAAATGCCAGCTTCAGTGTTTTTCAATCCTGGTTTTCGTAGACTGCATTCCACAGAAACAGCATGATTAAAAGTTTCTACTGATGTGTTGATGGCAGCTGATTCTGGAAGCTTCACTGTGTTTGTTGTTCTGGACCTGACTTCAGCTTTTGACACTGTGGATCACACTGTTCTTATCAAAAGACTAAGAGATCTTTTTGGTATTTCTGGCTCTGTTTTAAACTGGTTTAACTCTTATTTATCTGATAGGTCTTTTACTGTTTTTATGAACAATGTTTTCTCTGATGTTGCTCAGCTGTCCTGTGGGATGCCCCAGGGTTCAGTTTTGGGCCCACTCCTCTTTTTATTGTACTTGCACCCACCGGGTTTTGTTTTAAATTGCTACAGTAACGTCTCATACCATGTGTATGCTGACGATATTCAAATATATTGTTCATTTCGATCTGAATTTTATAAATTGACTGAACTCAGTAACTGCCTGCCTGGCATTAAAATCTGGCTGAATGACAACCACCTGCAGGCAGGACCGAGACGCTTATCGTATCTTCTGATGATAAAATCACGGAAATCAGGAAGCATCTTGGATTTTTAAACCCTTTGAATAAAAATAGCCTCAGAAATCTGGGTGTTCTCTTCATCAGTTCTTTGTCATTGGACAATCATTGCAAATTGTTAGTTCGCAACTGTTTTTACCATTTAAGGAATATTTCGAAGCTGCGAGCTATTTTATCATAGAAGGAATTAGAAATGATTGTCCATGCTTTTATTTCTTCTCATTTAGATTACTGTAACGGCCTTTTAGTGGGTCTGAGTAAATCCTCCATGGCTTCCCTTCAATCTGTGCAAAATGCTGCAGCCAGGCTTTTAACTAGAACCCACAGAACAGATCACATAACTCCTGTTCTGACCTCTCTCCACTGGCTCCTTGTGTATTTTAGGACTCATTTTAAATTTTTGGTTTTAGCTTTTAAAGCACTTCATGGTGAGGCTCCCAAATATATATTGGACCTTCTGAAGCCTCTCTGTCCGTCAAGGACTCTGAGGTCTTCTAATCAGATGCTGCCGTCGGTTCCCAGAACTCATTTTAAAACTCGTGGTGACAGAGCATTTCAGGTGGAGGCCCCAAGGCTCTGGAACATCTCCCTCTATCAATGCGATGCTCCAAGTCGACTGATGCATTTAAAAAATGTCTCAAGACTTATTTCTTCAGACTGGCTTTTGGTTAATTTTGTTCATTGATTTTAGAGGGGTTTTTTTTCTATTATTGACGTGTTTCCTTTTTTGTAAAGCACTTTGTGATTTTTATGTCTGTGAAAGGTGCTATATAAAGTGCAAAGTTTACTTACTTACTTACATTTTCTTACTTGTCTGTAAAAATTATTGCTGCCTGTTGGTGTGCAATGTGTTAACATAAAAATATCTACAAGTCACTACAAGCAGTGGACCAGTCCACTTCTCCCTTGATACACCAGTGGTATGTCCCAACTACACAGCGCCTTTGCTGGTGGCTTGTTTGCAGTCTGCTTCTGAATTGAATTCTATTCAGAGCACTCTTGCAGTAAGTTTGGTGATATTTCTTTTATTGAAAAATAACTGCATTGTTTTGTGTCTATGCTGCAGCTTGCTAGGTAAATGTGTGATTATATATGTCAACAAACATTAAAATATTCATGAATACATATTCTGTATATTTTCAAAGTCAGGCCTCAACGTGGATTCAAAATTTCTGCCTAACCGTATTTCAACATTGATTCACTCATATTTTGCTATCTGGGTAGGCACTTCTCTCTTTAAAGGCCACTTTCTGCTCTTTTCAATGATACCGGTTTGATTGACTCACTTTACTTTTTTTTTTTTTGCAACATCAGAGCAGAAGGAAGTACCTGACATGGTTCCTACTCCAATGAGTAAGCACTCCACCAGAGCATCTAAAGTGAAGGTAGGGCCGAGTACAGCCATACCAGTTCCAATGTTTTCCCTCACTTCATCCTGAAAAAGCATAGAGGGAAAAAGCATAGCAATTTTTTAAAGAAAGTTTCAACAGGCTGCAAGAAAATGTCTTGTTTTACCTGAGAATTGGAGCTTAAGGCAAACTTGGCAAGGGTGCAGGCCTTGGAAAGGTCAATGAGAAGCAAGAAAAAGGGCAGCGCCTCGCTGTAGGACAAGGACATGTTAGAGCTTACTGCACAACAAGCTGATAAAATGATATATTTAGAGCAATCTTACTTGAGGCCAGTGAGCTCCTTATCAAAAAAGTGAATAACAACTGTGCTGAACACGAAACTGGAAAAAATGGTAAAAAGACCAGCGATTCCTAGAAGAAAATGCATCAACAAAGAAATACAGTTGAAAACTGATACATTTTACATGCTTCCGGTATCCTGCAAATATGCTGGTGTGGAAACAATATCTTACCTAGAATGTATTTGGACCCCAGTTGTCTTAAGCTCTGGAACTGAAAATATATGTAGACAATGGCTATACAACGAGTGATGGTCAGGATGATGATGTCACTGCTTAGAATTTCCTGTAAGCAACAAGGTCACAGAAAATATAAAGAAATACACCATCACAAGCTGTTCAAAGCTCTCAACAGTTGTTACGGTAAGGTAAGTTTATTTATATAGCACATTTTTAGCAACAAGGCAGTTCAAAGTCCTTTACATGAATTAGAAGAAAATACAAACCAAAAGAAAGATTAAAAGATAAAAGTGTAAAACTATATATTGGTTCCCCATGTTTAATAAGAATAAGAAGTAAATAATTATTAGCTGGTAGGGGTTTCTCTGGATTCTTGCTCTGATAAAACTAAATGTTGGTTCTCCATCTTTGATTCCATTAGTAGGTTCAAATATTTGAACCAAATGTTGGTTCAAGTTGTTCTGGACTTAGTTCTAAATTTGAACAATATAGAGCTATGTGTTGGTTTTCCATGTGTGATTCTTATTCTGGGTTGTTAAGTAGATGGCACTTTCTAAGTTTGTTCTAGATTTGTGAACTAAGAGGAGTTTCTCTCGGTCTTGCTCCAATATTAAAAGTATAAAGCTAAATGTTGGTCTAAATTAATAAATACTCCACAGTTTATAAAAGTAGCTAAAGGTTCCCAAACTGTGGGGCGCGGGAAGCCATCTGGATGAAAAAAACAAACAAAAAAAAAAACATGAAAGCTGAATGTGCTGGGTTTTTAAGGGTTTTAAGGAAAACCACGTGACCAATACAGTTCCTGTGTCGTTTGGATGTGAACGTGCCAAATTGTATTTATGAGGGAGAAACTGTGTTGACACGTTTGTGGGTTTTGTTGTATGGATAATGTGTTCTTTGCCTTACGTTAGTTTTTGGTTCATATTTGAATACTGGCATAGATCAACCAAGGCAGGGGAAGTTTCCCCTGTGTAGGATCATTTTCATCTTATCACAGAGAATAAGGTAAATGATTATTCCATTCTCATTTCCACTTTTGATCATTTTTCTTTTGGATTATTCCAGTTCCTTTCTATAGAATATTTTAATTAATTTACATGGATTAACTTTTATTTATATTGTAGATGAAATGTTGGATTTGCTCCCAGGTGCTGTCTGTAACCGGAGCACTTCCACAATGCTGAGGCATCATCGTGCCCAGCATGAGGGGGATGAACCAGTTAACACTCCATGATAAACTCTGGTGTTTCCAGAAAGCAGGCGATTGAACTGGACCTTCAGCTCAACAATCTGCTCCCGGTTCAGGTTTGTCATGATTGTTAATTGTGTTTATTTGTATTTTAATGTTCTTGCAAATCACTTCACGTAATTACAATGAGTTAGTAACGCAGATGCATTTTATTTTTTTCTCCGATGACAACCTGTGGCAGCAGGTGAGCATGGAAGTCGAAGAGAACAAAACAAATTCAAATGTCACCACCGAAGCCATTATCGATGTATAAATATGGATCTCTGAGGCGAACACGCCTAGATCACAGGATCCACTGCAATACTGGGAAACAAAAAGACATTACCCTATCTTATACAAACTTACAATTAAATTTCTATGTGCGCCGTCATTATTGTCCTGTGAAAGGATGTTTGTGGATAATGGGGCTATTTAGTGAAGAAAAGAACTTACAAAAAAGCCAAAGTCCAGGGTACAAGAAAATCCAAACACAAAGCACACTGGAGACACAAGGGAATAACGTAATACAGGTAGAGAAGCAAGGGGAGTGACAAGACAGACTGGCAAGTTGTGACTGAGATAGAGAACCTTAAATACTGGGAGGCAGCAAATGGAACAATGGACTAATTAGATGAGATAACTGATTGCAGGTGTGAGTAGTTGGCACAGGAACTAGCTGAGGAGTGGAGAGAAGGCGGCACAGGGAAGCTAAGAAGATCTGCTGGGGAAAACAAAAGGGAGGAAACAGAGAGCTGAAAATACTTCTATTAAAGAAACACTATGACTAAAGAAAACCTGATAAACTAGAAGAGAAAAAGACATAAACAAAACATAAACAAACCTATAAAAGAAACAAGGCTGATCTAACAATAAGAACTAAGGAATATAGAGCTAGAGCAGGGGTGACAAACTCCAGTCCTCAAGGGCCACTATCTTGCAGTTTTTAGATGTGCCACAGGTACAAAAAAACGCTGGAATAAAATGGCTTAATTACCTCTTCCTTGTGTAGATAAGTTTTCCTTGCTAATGACCTATATTCTATTCAGGTTTGGTGCAGCAGAGGCACATCTAAAAGTTGCAGGACACCAGCCCTTGAGGACTGGAGTTTGACACCTGTGAGCTAGAGTAACTATAAGGACTAAACAAAGAAATAACCTAACTAGAATTACTAAAGAAAGATGGTCATAGATTCAGACAAAAAGTAAACCTAAACTTTAAAAAAGTAACTAAACCTAAAGAAAACCCGGTACACTACGGGGGGAGCTAGAAGGTCTTAAGAAATAACCTAACTAGGATTACTAAAGGAAGATAGGGCATGGATGGAGACATAACAGAACTAAATCTAAGGTAGCTAGATAAGAAAACTAGACGCACTGCGAGTGAGCTGAAATAAGGAACAACTAGAAGGAATAAAGAAACAAACTAACTAGGACCTCTAAAGGAAGGCATACAAAGAGTCGGACATATGTGAATAACTGAACATAGGTTGACGAAATAACTAAGAAATAAACATAACTAGAAACACTACAAGGGAATTGAAATAAGGAAAACAAAAAACAAGACAATACTAACCAACATAATTTACATCAAAAGAATAAAACTAAAATGACCATGAAGGGCTAAACTGAAATGAACTAAAACATAATGAAAAGCCAAACCAAACCCCAAACCCCCCAAATCCTAACATCTTTTTTACACTGTTAACCTAAAAATGGTTAAAAATGCTGCAGCTAACTGGAACCCGGAAACAAGAACATAACACCCCAATATTGGCTTCTCTTCATTGGCTGCCAGTTTCTTATCAGACTGATTTTAAAATTCTTTTCCTGGTTTTTAACGCTTTACATGGCTTAGCCCCCAGCTTATCTTTAAGACCTTCTTCATAACCATTCCATTTCTACAACACTTTGATCAAATAATACATTTCTTTTACATATTCCCAGAACCAGACTGAAAAGAAGAGGAGACCAGGCATTCACTGTCATTGCTCCTAGTCTGTGGAACAACTTGCCTTTTAACATTAGATCTGCCCACAGTCTGGAACACTTTAAATCACTCCTTAAAGCTCATTTTTATTCTTTAACTTTTCCATAAGACCTGACATTGTAATTTACTTGCCCTGTCTGTTTTCATTTGTTTTATTCTTATGTGTTTTATTTGTGTTTTATGAATACTGTACAGCACTTGGGTGCAGTTAATATCTGTTTTTAAAGTGCTTTTTAAATAAAATTGACATTGTCATTGACTATGACGAACTGTGGTGGCAGCATCATGCTGTGGGGATGCTTCTTGGCAACAAGCCCTGGAAGGCTTGTAAAGATAGAAGGTAAGATGAATGCAGCAAAACATAGGCAGATTCTGGAGGTTAACTTGTGTCCATCTCCAAGAAAACCATGGCTTTGAAGTATGTTTGTTTTCAAGACAATGAACTGGAGCATCCAGCTAAAGCTTCACAGAAATGATATGAAGCCAGCAAACCAGAAGTTCTGAAGTGGCCCAGTCAAAGTCCAGAACTTAGACTGATAGAGTATTGTGATGATTAGACTTCAAAAGGAGTCAATTCCCAATACAACATGGAACAGTTTTGCAAAAAATAATGGAAGAAAATTGCAGAGTCCAGGTGTGCAGTCTAGTTGAGACCAATCCAGTCAGACTCCCTGCTGCGATTGCAGCTAAAGGTACATCAGCTAAATACTGACTTGAAGGGGGTTTTGGAATCACCTATTTTATGTTAAATATTTTCATTTAATTGCCAGTATTTTGTAGAAATCAATTTTCACCTTGATTCTAAAGAGTTTTTTTATTATTAATTTTCTTTGCCAAAAAAACTAATTTTAATGATCATGATTAATCAATCATGGTCATTAAAATTAGTTTTTTGTAAAAGCAACAAAAGGAGGAGAATACTATTCACAGACACCTTTATTCTTCTTAGTTTTTACAGTTCTTAAATATAACATGAGAACAAGGGCTGCATAACAATAGGGAGTCATGCAATGATGATGCTACTGTAAAATAGCAAAGTCAATAAATCCAGATTTTATTCTCTCAGTCATCTGCCATGTACTGTATATCTCTAACTCTCTTCTTGACCCTTAGCATTTTGGACACTTTCACCTGTGACTTGTGTGACAATCTGCTGCAGGGCGACTCGCTCCAACAGCCTGATTTTTTTGTTGGCATGAATTGTATGAATTTTAGACACTTGAAAAGTAACAGCCAACAAAATCTGTTTTCAAAATTGAGATTTATTGATATTAATATAATATTAATGACATGACACTGTGGTAACAACTTATTTGAGACATATTACCCAGCCCTTGTGAGCACCTATGAAATATTAACTGACGGATTGTTGGTTGCGTTACCTCTTCTGTTTTGGGGCAGTCCAGATTCCAGCCGCAGATTTGATCGTTGCCGGTAAACATGTTCATGGACAACATGCAGATGGTGAGGGTGATAGTGCCAACAATCACCTCCCATGGGTGTGAGGCCACCAGGAGGCCATGGGCTCGAAACAGAGGACTTAGCATGGTGCAACAAAGCTAAGAAATAAAACAGGAAAATATTGAGATGAAATTTTGCAAAGATGTAGGATGAAAAGAGAAAGTGCACATAATTAATTAATTAGAACGACTATTTTGTTCTCATCCAACTTCCCCGTATAAATACATAAATAAATATAATATCCCTAAATATCTCTGTTGATGCGTCCTTTTCAGCATAGAAATCGGGTTTAATTTTATTTAGAAAATGCATTATGATGCCAATTTTATGAAAAGGTTTCGTAACTTTCTTTTTTGCTACTTTTTAAATATATATAAAAATTACGTTTATGTAATTTGAGTAATTTTAATAAAAATACTGCTGTTAATTAAATATGAAGATGTAACGGAAGAGATTGATTGTACACTGTAGCCACTAACTTCATGCCTTCAGCTTATCTCATTAACAGCAGTTAATGCAGTGTTCGCGCGAGCCAGCAGTTTTTGTAGGGTGGCAGAATGATGACTGACATTGGAATTAGAAGTGAACGGTAGGAAATGGGGTTCTTACCTTAGGTCCTGCTGCGGTGGACTGGACCCGCTGAGCCTGTGTAGCAAGAGCTTCAGCAGCTTTCGGAGTCGGAGTCAACAACGATGGAACGATGATACGCTACTACATCATCCGACACTTTAGCCAATCATATTAGTCACCTGTTTCAGGAGCGCGTTAACCACGCCTTGGTTTCCTAGGAAACAGGGGTAACAGGGTATGGCCATATGAAAGACGACTGATCTCGCCACTGCTTTGACATACGGAACAAGACTTTAAAGACCGGAGCAGGGTACTTTTAATAGAAAATTGCTATAGTGGTCCGTATATACTACGATGTTCTGTTTGGAACTGTTCTATAAGTTTTGAGAACTAAAGTTACTGTTTAAAAAAAACAACGAAGTTATACTTAAAACAAAAGAAAAGAAAAGAAAAGAAAATTTACTTTAGGGGAAAATGGCCTGGCTACAGCAAACAGTAAGGGGCGGGGACAGACCACGTGGCAGACCAATACCATATTTGGAAATGGGACCATTGCACTCCGGTGGCGCAAAAAGTGGATATGCACTGAATGCAACGCACAGCGGCGCTACACTAGAGGAGGCGCCAAAACGATGTGGGGACATTTTTTCTAGTTGACATTTTATGTATTTAACAGCATGTATGAAATGATCAATAACAGAGGAATGGCACTGATGAGGCGCTCCTCCGCTCCTTCATCTCCCCTCCTGTCGCGTTCCCCTCCCACACAGGTCGCTTGGGCACGCGCCCCTTCAAGGACGAGCTCAGGCGTGTTTTTTTGTCTTTTAAATTTGAATCGTCGAACATAGTGCACTTGACACTATATATGGGTAAGATGGAGCAGCAGAAGGAAATAAAGCTCTCCGGGGCACAAAACAGAAAGCGAGAGAGAGAGGAATAAAGATCTTGGAGGGTCGAAGAAAAGCTTTTCAAAATGACTGAAAGACAGTAGGTAAATAATGTCAGTTTTTAGGGATGTCACACCCGTCCCATAAAAATAACCCCCTAACCCATATATATATACTGCTCAAAAAAATAAAGGGAACATTTCACTTTAATTTTGTGTGTGGCTCCAAATCCAGGCCTCCATTGGTTAATAAATTTGACTTCCATTGATGATTTTTGTGTGATTTTGTTGTCAGCACATTCAACTTTGTACAGAACAAAGTATTCAATGAGAATATTTCATTCATTCAGATCTAGGATGTGTTATTTGAGTGTTCCCTTTATTTTTTTGAGCAGTGTATATCATGCGAGTATGTTAATCTATAAATACTCTATAAATGAGTGCAGAGAAAATGACATTTAAGTTACTCAGACTTGGACATTGTAAAGTCTAATAGCTGCAGACGGAAATTATTTTTTGTGATGTAATCCAGAGATGTTTGTTATCAGTGCGTTAATTGGAAAGCCATCAGGCCCTGGTGCTTTATCTGCTTTCATGCCATCCACTGCTGCATTCAACTCTCCTTCTGTTAGGTCTGCCTCCAACTGTTTGCTAAATTCCTGGGAAATGGTTGGAATAATTATTTCTTCTAAGAATATTTTCTGAGGAAGTCACATTTAATTTGAGACTTACAGATTTGTATAATACGCATCAAACTCTTTATTTATTTCCCTTGGGTCTGTTATGGTTTCACCATTATCATTAACATTACAAGTTATTCTTTGTCTTTCTTCCAACTGCTAATCTGCCAGGCCAGATTTTTAGCCGACTTCACTCCCTGTTCATAAGATGCTTGGTTGAGTTTGACCATACTGGAGGCTGCTCTGTCTACTATTAATATATTAGATTCAGCTCTTAAAAGTAGCAGCTTCTTTTCTACTCCAGGGACTTTATTACTAAAATACTGTTTTTGTAAAGTTTGTATTTTAGATTCCAAGTCTTTTCAGTCTTATTTCTTTAGATTTGGACGAGGTATAAGATGTGTCCTCTTAAACAGGTTTTAAAGGCTTCCCACCTCATCGTTTCAGACGTTTGTTGTATTCTCATTAAAGTAATTGTCTATTTATTTCTCCACATATTTCATAAATTCTTTATCTTGTAGATATTTTTGTATTAAAGTCTGTCTAGGTATTTCTGTGATCAGGCTTTGATCTGTGTATAGAAGACAGCATGGTCCATGGTCAGATATTAATATACTTCCATAATAGCAATTCTTATTTCAAGCCTTTTTAAAAGCTTGAGGAAAACCCAAATGAAACCGAGATGATCTTACTGTGGACTGTGAGATTGACCAAGCAACTAAAGTATGGTACACTTCCTATGGCCAATAGGAAGTGTGCAACAGATTATTTGTTATAACCCCTAGTTCTAACAATCTGGATTCAGCAAGGACCTCAAACATTTTTCAAAGATAGTATTAGAAATTAGAAATTCATTAGCATTAGAAATTCTTTTGGAAAATGTAGTAAACTCTAAAAGCTCAACCAAATGATCAGCAAACCAAACCAAGAGATCAAGACAGTAAAAACAAGATAGTAAGCATTACATGGTTAGGTGTCCCATGACATGCAACATTATTAAGAGAACATATCAAAGTTTGTCAGAAAGCTTTACTGGGTGTAAATGGCATTAGTACTTTCATCATGTATTTTTCCTTCCTAAGTGCATTGCAGCAAATCAACAAAAACAATGACTGCATTCAAAACACAGTCTCACTATTTAAAGTAACGATTCTGTATCTTTCATTAACAGAACAAAGGAGTGAATAGAGAACATTCATGACAGGTTGAGTGGGTAATTCAAGTCTGCATGTGGGACTACAGCGTGTGTAGAATAAATGAACATTTTCCACCTTGTCACATAAAAAGTCCTTATCTACATCACTCACACAAAAACATTTGGCTCAGGTGAGCTGCAAAAGCCCCACAACAGAAGAAAGCGTGTCCAAAATCTATTTGTCCTGGAACAGATGTCAGAGTTCATCGTGCCGGAGCGGCTCCTGGCTGGGCTGAATGAACACACCTTCCATGGTGCGCCACAAGTTGTGCTGGTTGGGGGTGCTCATGCCGTGCACCTCGCGTTGGCCACGGATTGGGTGGCCGTACTGCTCGCCTGTGATGCCAAGGAAGACGTCTGTGCCCACGTGTTTGAAGCGCACAGGCTCATCACGGTCCCAGTAGATTCCATCACACTGGACTGTCCACACGTCCAGATCGTCACCCTCTCCATTCTCTCCAAAGGCGCTGACTTCCTATAAAAAGCAAGACAACTCAAGGTGGCAACAGAATTGTTCGACTTTGTGATCTAGTTGTCATAATGTTGACAAATGGTAGCAAAGCACTGTGTCCCTTTATCTTTTAAATATCAAAGTATAAGTTTAAATATATTAAATTATCAGCTAACTTTGTGTCCTTTAGATACGTTATACTTTTGTTGCGATTTTAGGCCCTGTCCACGACATCATGTGAGAATCACAAGCAAAACTTTGAGTCACAAACAAAAACTTAGAAAGCAAGAAAATATTTCTGACATGTGCAAATAAGTTTGTTTTGCAAATATTTTTTTCACTTCATGAGACAAAAATGTGTGATTTTAATTTTAAAACAAGTTTTATTAAACAAAACTCAGTAGGCTTTTCTCATGGTGACATGCATTAAGAATTCAATTTTTGCTTTTGTTTTTTTCTTCTTTCTGTAGTTCCATATTAAAGTTTGATGCAGCTCTGCTTTCCTGAATGGACCATCTTCATCTCCACTGTAGCAAACAGGCAGCTCTTTTTTTTAATAGATTACAGTACAATAAAGGTTGCATTGTCCCCTTGTTTATATTTTTAATAGTATAATTCTGTAAAGACAAAATATGTCTGGTGGTCTAGCTCTGATTTACATATCTTGCTAAATTACGGGTTTGAATATTGCAATACTTTCCTATAACAAAATAGACCTGCAGAAAGAAATTACTAATAAAATATCTTACATATGCATAGTTGTATACTCTACATAGAGATTTTCCTTAGCTTTGATAGTATATCTCACAATTTTGTAATTTATCAATATTTATTATTTATCTTGTTTATTAAAAGCTGCGAGGCTTTGTTAATATTCTGTCCTAAAACGAAGTTAGATGTGCCCTTTTTTTTGAGCACCTGCCCCTTTCAGTGGTCTCTGCACGGCCCCGTTTGGCTACATCGAGGCTCACTGCAGGAAAAAAGCGAACAGACAGCAGGATAAAGCAGCGCCCAACTACCAACATTCACCTGGATTAGCATCACGGTCAGAAAGCTAAACAAATAACCTGAAAAATAATTTAAATCAACGAGCTAGCTACCCACTGCTTGTAGTAATATTTCATTGACGGAGCGCTGCTCAACCTCCACCCAGGAGTGAACTCTCACACCGAACTTAACGCTGCAGCATGTAAGTTAAACAGACAAAACATTTTGAATATGTACTAAAACTTTTGCTATGTCCTAACATAAGATGGATAGTCTCTGAAAAAATAATCAATCTTTTCTGCCTCCTCCTGTGTTCTGCAGAATTACTCAACTCAGTCAAAACCAACCAATCAGAACCAGAAAACAGTCATGTTCTCAAGAAGTTTTGATTTAGTAACTCAGAATTGCTTATTTTGATGCAACCTGTGTTTAGCATTGAATAAATGTTTCCTCTTTTACTTGACATTATTTGATATAGGCAGTGTTATGAGATTTATTTGACTTATGTATAAATTAGGCTGTTAAGAGCCTTACTGTTAAATATTGTCTTACAACTTCCGGCTGAATGGCGGTGGAGTAAGTGTGCCTTGGTGTGCTCGTACGGGGTTGGCTGTTTGGAGCTTTGGAGCTGACGTCACAGCGTATGACGTTTACGGCGCTCTGCGCCATGTTTGCAGCCCACAGGCCAGTGTTTTCATCGTATTACCGACCGCAGCGAAGTTGTTTTGCAAATTGGATACTTGATATTCGCCCTCTGCGGAGCAAGGGACGTTCAGCTGAAGGTTGATCCGATTTATGAACGCCAATTTCGGCCAGCTGTTCTCTACCGATGCCTCCTGAAGCGCTCAGAGTTTCACATAGGGACCGTCAATTTCCGAACACTCCTGTAAATAAATGCTTTGTCTTGTGACCAACTGATACAAAAAAGTGGTCATACATGCTATTAAACGAGGCACACTATCCTCTATAAAATGTTTAAGTCATATTCAATATTTTAAATAAAAGTTTTCTTCAGTAGCTTCCAAATCGTGTGTTCATAAAATATATTATCTCACATAATAAGAACATTTGTAACCTGTAATGTTCAATTACATAAAATTCTAGAACAGGATCTTTCATTACTTGTTTACTTACCTGAAATATGTTAAATACAACAAATAGTTATTAAAGTGTGATCTGTTTCATAAAATTTACTTGTCACCTTTATTGT